ATTCTCTATCCTTCCTTGCAGGGAGATGGGGCCATGTAACCAATTTTCTGGCTAATGAGATTTGAGCACATGGATGTGCACCTTTGTCCAGTCCTGTTTCTAAAAATCCCACACATGGTCCTCCATGTGCCATGCCTTCTGTGGCTTGATGCAGACGAGCACAAATCCTTAAAGGTCATGTGTTGAAGCTAGTAGAGGTACAAGATGGAAGGAACCTGGGCTCCCTGCTCAGAGGAACACTACCCGAAAATCACAACCATCCATTTTAAATTGTACATGAGCAATAAATGAACTATTGTTTTAAGCCTAAAGGTTATAGCAATTAGCATTAACTTAACTAATAGATTATTTATTATATAGTGTTTCTCCTACTTTCATGAATAGTCCATGTGTCAAATATTAAATGCTGGGCTAAAAATTTCAACACGAGATTTGGATGGTACTTATGTGGATAACACTATTACTTGGATAGATTTTTTTCCCTAATACTTGATTAAAAAAAATCCCTTTCTTGCAACTTTCTATATTACAGAAAATAACTGCTTAAGTACTCACTTTGTTTTGGTAAATTTTAAATTCTAACGGGCATTTTTCAGTTCAGTCCCTAGCGGTGACCATTGTTCTACAAACGATTTGAGCTTGTATGATACTCAGTTTAGAGAAAGTTCACCCAGTGTTGCTTGAATTCCTACGTATAATTTACGTGAGCTTGGAGCAGCTCAATGTTCTGGATACACAGGAGACCCTCAAATACCAGAGCCAGATTGGAGCTCCCATCAAAACCCTGCTTTCTAACAGCCTCTATCATTTCAGGATTGCAGACTTGACAAGAAATTGTTCAAGTGGCAATTAAGCATTGAGAGTCCTCACCCTACCACCTCATGGCATTCAAAGCCAAGATGGGATCTCACTAAGACACAATTCCATGTGTCCTGGATTTAGCAATGCATTACATAACATTGATTCAACTTTCCCCCAGAAACCTTGCACAGTTGAAAATAAAAATGCCACACTTGGATGCTTCTAATCAAGTTGCAGTGGAGTTAAATATTGGTTTAAGTTTAGGCTCTGATTCTGGCAACCTTATGATAGTAAACCCCCAGTGAGGGAAAGAAAGGCCTCAGAACACCTGTCTGGCCAGATAACTAGTATGTTAGCCAAAGGAAGTCTCATTTACTTAACCTTCAGACAGCCTGAGCTACTTCCCTTTATCTAGCTCAGCCTTTTTCCAAGGTAATTAAAGGTAAGGAGGACATGCTGTCTGGATTATCCCAAACTTCCCTGAGCAGAAAAATACTGGGAAGTTCTGGGGTGGTTTATTGCTTCACACCTTGTAGAACAACCATCCTGCCAAATGTGAGTGGGTCACACATTCACCACCCAGGCCCAAGGAGTGAATGTATAGTCAACCCTCTTCTGTTATGCATAAGGATGGTTTTCTTTGTGGCCTACAATAACAAGCATTCCTAAAATTTTCTAGCATTAATTCTTTAGGTTTCCATACTTTTTAAGTTTTTGCCTTTAATCTCCCATCAAACCTTAAGGATGAGCCGTTTTCCTTATAAGTCAGTGAGACACAGAGTTTAATCAACCTGCCCAGGAACTCACAGCTGGTAAGTAGCAGAGCTGCCAGGAGAGACAATTTCCTCCCATCATTCTCAAATGACTTGGTGTCAATCCATGGAAGGCCATGTTCTCCCAGGCTGTGTTAGTCTAGCCTTGGATGAAAATACAGTCAGGAATGAATGCCAAGGAGGTATTAGTATGTACATACAGGTGTGTAATACTGGTATTTGCTTTCCAAAGCAAATTCATGCAAATACTCTTTGTATAGCCTATTTTCTGTTTTATTTGTATTCTGCTTCCCAATACTAATGTAGTAAATGGCAATTTTATCAAACAGAAACACAACTTTTGTGACACTGAATATGACAAATCATGTCTTTCCTGAGCTGTCACAGTAGTCTAACTGCCTTCCTTGCCCTCAGACTGTTTCTCTTTTGTCTGTTCTCTGTACACTGTCAGAAAGTCAGTTCTAAAATGCAGACTAGTCATTGCATCATCTTTCTTAAAATTTTATTTCTCTTTCTTCCCCTCTCCTGTGCTTTCTAGATTATCATTGCCTGACAGGAATATAATGTAAGCCACATTTAAATTGTAAAAAGAAATCAGTGAAAATAATGTTAACAATTTTTATAATTCAATACATACAAAATACTATCATACCAATATTAACATGTGGCACTGGCCGCATTTCAAATGATCAATGGTCATATGTGCCTAGTGGCTGCTGTAATGTGTTGCACAATTCTACATTAAGTTTACTCTCTTTACATCACAAACACGGCTTTACAGATCTGGTTAGCTTCTCTGTGGTTTATATTCCAGTCAACCCTGTTGTATACCCACTTAGCCCATCTTTTACCCCTTCTGAGCATCTTTCAAAATATGAACTCTCAATGGATCTGGAATGGGAGACAACTAAAAGTTCTAATGAATGGAATAACAAGATTTTCCAGATGCCAATGATCAAAAAGAGAGAGTAAATAGGAAGATACGCAAAATTCAGCATACCCAAAGATCACAGCATGAATATTGAGAGGTGTGATGAAAGTGAAAAAAAGAGACAGAAAGCACAAAAAAGAAAAGTAAAAAAGAAAGAAAAAAATAAGACTAACAATAATTTGTACCAAACATATGTATTTGTTTCATACCTAAGTTATTTGGGGCACCAAACAATTGTGAATGATACAAGCAGCCTCAAAAAGGGGGCAGGCTAAGCCAGAGGTTGTTATACATGTACATTTCACAACTACCCTTCTGAGGCAAGAAGCAAAGTCTATTTCAAAAATTATAGGCTGAGGGATTTACACTTCTAGCCATGATGAGGCAACTGGTTTCAGACTTGCAGTTTAACCATAAATAATTAAAAGTGTGGAAAATACGTATGAAGGAATAGTTTCTCAAGATTGGACAATGAGCAATGCAAGACTATAATAAGTGAAAAAGGAAAACAAATGAGGTGAGATCACCAATGATTCCAGCTATATGTCTGGAGGCATTTCCAGGACTCCTAGCACAGAGAGGGAGAATCTCAGAAGAGAAAGGTAGACTCATCAGGATGAGAAGATGAAGATCAGAGTTCAGAGAGGCCAAAGTATTTGGATTGGGCAGAGCAGAGTACTGAAGAGCAGAAGCCACAAATATGAAAAGCTCCAGAAATTGGCACAGGAGTCCACTTGAGTCCTTGAATGATCCTAACAGGCATACAAAGAATAAGATTTCATGAGACTGGTCAGATAACAACCACATGAGTAATACAAACAACTCCTGGAGCTCACACATGATGGGAGACATTCAGTCGAACAGAGTAAGAGATTTTATTGAATAATCAGAGCGTTTAGTAGACAACCCAAACTAAAATAGACCTAAAGTTTAATCTCAATCTGCCTTAAGAAAGCATAAAAGCAAACCTTCAAGCATCACATTGATCTGTAAAATGTAAAATTATTGGCATCCAACATCCAATATCAAATGATTAGGCATACAAAGCAGCAGAAAAGTATGATTCACTAGTCAATAGAAGTAGATCTAGAATTGATAGGGATTATGATATTAGCAGATGAGTACTTTAAAACAGCTATTATAAATAAGCTTAAGAGCTAAAGGAAAACATAGACATAATGAGAAGACAAAGAGAAACTATTAGGAATGGATTAGAATATTAAGAAATACAGAAGAGAAGATTGGAAAATGGAGACACGGCAATAGAAAAACCATTCACACTGAAATTCAGAGAGGGAAGAAAGGGATGAAAAATTACAGAGTCTTGGTGATCTTTGGGTAATAGGAAGCAGTTTCAAGCACACATAATTGCAAGTCCTGGGCCAAGTGTTAAATAAAATTGGAGAAATAATGGCTAAAAATGTCCAATATGGATTTGTAAAAATGAATCTACGTATCCAAGAAGTTGAACAGTATCAAGTAGGATAAATCCAATGAAAACCAAACAAAGGCAAAAAATGGTAAGATTGTGAAATCCAAAAATAGAGCAAAAAATAAACAAAAAAAAAAAAGTAAAGGTGGACAGAGGGGAAAAAAAAGATACAGGAAAAACAAGGAAAGAATGACTACAGACTCTCCAATGGAAACAGCAAGCAAAAGAGACAATGGAATGGCTTACAGTAGTTCCTCTTTATTCATGGGGAATACATTCTAAGACATCCAGTGAATGTCTAGAACTGCGAATAATAAACCTATATATACTATATTTTTCTATACATACATACCTATAATAAAGTTTAATTTATAAATTAGGCATGGTAAGAGATTAATAACTAATAAAATAGAACAATGTATGGTCATAAAATTTATCTCACTCTCTTTCCCTCCCTCTCTCTGTCTGTCTCAATACCTCAATATACTCTACTCACCCTTCTTGTGATGATATGAGATGATATAATGCCTACGTTAGGAGATAAAATGAGTTGACTGACATAGGTTTCACTATTCTTGTGAATGAGGGCCATTATTAAGTAAAATAAGGCTTACCTGAACAACAGCACTAGATACTACAACAGCTGATCTGATAACCAAGACAACTGACTACTAAGTGACTAACACCTAGGTACCATGTCCAGCCTGGCAATGCTGGACAAAGGGATCACTCATGTCTCAGGCAGGAGGGAGCAGAGCAGTGTGAAATTTGATCATGCTACTCAAAACAGCATGCAATTTAAAATACATGAATTGTTTATTTCTGGAATTTTCCAATTAATATTTTTGGACTGGGTTGACCACATATAACTGAAACTGCAAAAAGGAAAACATGGATAAGAAGGGACTACTGTGTTGAATGTGCTGAAAGTCACAGACCTAAATGTAAAAGCTAAAACTAAAATCTTCTAGTAGAAAATAGAGAAGAAAAATGTTTGCTACCTTACAATAAGCAAAGATTTCTTAGACAACAGATAAAATCCTTCTATAAGAAACAGATAAACTGAACTTTATGAAAATTTAAAACCCTACTTTTCATTCTTGTGCAGGGTAATGCTAATCTTCCCTGTATCATTCCAATTTTAGTATATGTGCTGTCAAAGCAAGCATGAAAACATTGTAAGAAAACGAAGAGGCAAGACACAGACTGGGAAAAAGCATCTACAGTACACTCCTAACAAAGAATTTGTATCGAGAATATAAAAAGAATTCTTACAAACTTGATAGCAAAACAAACAGCCTAAAAAATAGAAAAATATTTAATAACGTCACAAAAAAGATGCACAGGTGGCTAACAAGCATGCAAAAACATTCTCAACATCTTTAGTCATCAGAGAAATGCACAATAGAATCACAAGGAAATATCCTTACAGCTCAGTAAAATGGTAAATATCTGACAATTCCAAAGATGTGGAACAATTGGAATTTCATAAAGTGCTAGTGGAAGTATCAAATTTACAATTAATTTGGAAAAGAGAGCCCAGATATAATGCTACACACCTACAGTTATCTGATCTTAGACAAAATTGACAAAAACAAGCAGTGGGGAAAGAACTCCCTATTCAATAAATGGTGCTGGGATAACTGGCTAGCCATATGCAGAAGACTGGAGCTGGACCCTTTCCTTACATTATATACAAAAATTAACCCAAGATGGATTAAAGACTTAACTGCAAAACCCGAAACTATAAAAAACCTAGAAGACAACCTAGGAAATATTATTCTGGAGAACAGGGCAAAGACTTCATGATGAAGATGCCAAAAGAAATTTCAATGGAAACAAAAATTTACAAGTGGGTCTTAATTAAGCTGAAGAGCTTATGCACTGCAAAAGAAACTATCAACAGAATAAATGACACCCTACAAAATGGAAGAACATATCTGCAAACTAAGCATCCCACAAAGGTCTAATGTCCAGAACCTATAAGGAGTTTAAACAAATTTACAAGCAAAGAACAAAAAAATTCCATAAAAAGTGGGCAAAGAATATGAACTGACACTTTTCAAAAGAAGACATACACGTGATTAACAAGCATAAGAAAAATGCTCAAAATAACTAATCATTAGAGAAATGCAAATTAAAACCACAATGAGGTACCATCTCACAACAGCCTTAATAGCTATTATCAAAAAGTAAAAAATAACACAAATATTGGTGAGATTGTGGAGAAAATTGAATGCTCACATACTGCAGGTGGAAATGTAAATTAGTTCAGCCATTGTGGAAAGCAGTTTGGCAATTTCCCAAAGAACTTAAAACAGAATTACCATTTGACCCAGCAATCCCATTATTTGGTATATACCCAAAGGACATAAATCATTCTACCATAGACACATAGGCACATGTATGTTCACTGCAGTACTATTCACAATAGCAAAGACATGGAATCACCCTAAATGCCCATCAATGGTAGACTGGATTAAAAAAAAAAGTGGTACATATACACAATAGAATACTATACAGCCATAAAAAAGAATGAGATCATGTCCTTTGCAGCAACATGAATGCAGCTGGAGCCCATTATCTTAAGCAAAATAACAAAGAAACAGAAAACCAAATACCACTTATAATTGGGAGCTTAATTTTGAGTACATATGGACACAAAGAAGGCAGCCTATTTGAGGGTGGAGGGTAGAAGGAGCATGATGATTGAAAAACTATGTATCTGGTACCATGCTTACTGAAACCTGGGTGATGAAATAATCTTCACACCAAACCCTTGCAACACAGTTTACCTATATGTCAATAACAAATCTGCACATGTGCCCTGAACCTAAAATAAAAGTTTAAAAGTAAACAAATAAGAAGTAAAAATAACAACCATAAAAAGGAATGAAAGCACGTCCTTTTTAGCAACATGGATGCAGCTGGAGGTTGTTATCCTAAGTGAATTAACACATTCCTATGTGGGAGCTAAACATTAGGGACTCCTGGACATAAAGATGGCAACAATAGACACTGAGGACTATTAGACACGGGCATGAGAAGGGGGGCAAGGGTTGGAAAACTGACTGTTGGATACTATGCTTAGTACCTGAGTGATGGGATCCCTCATACCTAAACCTCAGCATCATGCAATATAACCAGGAAATAAACATGCACATGTACCCCTGAATCTAAAAAAATTATGCAATATTCATACAGTGGAATGCTACTCAGTTACATAAAGAAATGAACTATGAATACATGCAGCATCATGGACAAATCTTAGAGATATTAAACTAAATGAAAGAAACCCAACAAAAAAGAGTATATAACTGTATTATTATGCTTACATGAAGTTCTAAAACAGGCAAAACTCATATTAACTACAAGGAACAGATCAGTGTCTGTCTGGGGTTCAGGGTGAATTAGGGAATTGTTTACAGGAGACAATGGAAATGTTTTATGTCTTGATGGCACACACGAATATTCTTTTGTCAAAACTCATTGGACCATACTCTTAAATTGGGTTCATTTTCTTAAATGTAAATTATACTTCAATAACAGTGAAAACACTACATACCCTACCCATACTAAGTGCTCAGAAACTATTTATTAAATTGAATCTTATTAAGGGTGACTGGCAACTGGATAATTCTGTCAGTTAACTTGCTCTTGATATTTCGATCCTGGTAATTCATTCATTCACTCATGCCTTCTTTCATTGTCAGGTGTATATTTTCTATATGACTTCTAGCTACTGTCATAGGTCCTATGAATAATTAAGACCCAGAACTCTCTCATGCTAAAAACAGAAATGGTGAGAATCGTCCAGATTCTAGATATATTTTGAAGACAGGACTGATAGGATTTGGATGGGAGTTAGGGAAATGAAGATGAGTTAAGGATGTCCCCTAAATTTTGGCTTGAGCAATGGGAAAGGTGAAATTGCATTAACTAAGATGGAGAAGGCTGCATATCAGTGGAGCAGGCTCAGGGTGGAGATCCAGATTTCAGTTTTGGTAATGGTTAAAATGAAATGTCTTTTCAGAGTCTAAATGGAGATGGAGGGTTATTCTGTAGTTCAGAAGAGAGGTCCGCTTAAGAAATATCAACTTGGGTTTTACATAAAGCCATCAGTCTAGGTGAGATCTCTTAGAAAGATGTTTCTAAGTACTAACTACTAAGCCCTGAGGCTCTACAATGTTACAAGCACAGGGAAATGAGGGATTTCAAAGGAGCATCCGGTGAGGACAGAGGAGAAGCAAGAGAAAGTGGTGACTTCGTCGAGACAGGGAGAAGAAAATGTTTCAGGGAGGTGAGCTGATCAAAAGACTGAGGGGTGAGAAAGGTAAGAAAGGAGTTGACCATAAGAATGAAGAACATGAGTGACAACAATCATTTGGGTAGGCAGAGACTGCTTAAGAGAATATTATTGAATTTACCATTTTCACTATGTCTTTTAGCATTCAATCAGGAAAATGAAACATTTAGTTGATCATCAATTAGTCTCTAAGATTTAGAATTCTCTGCCACCTTTTATATCTTAGCAGCCACACTCTTCCCTGATGCAAACACAGTTGGGGTTGTATCCCTGTGGATCCCAGTGCCTTGTTTTCAGTCTGTGTTATGGCTCACAAAACAATGCTTAACTGTGAAAATTCAATGATCAAGTAGACCAAAAAAAAAAAAAAAAAAAAAAGAGTGTAAACCACTCCTCCTTGTGCCATGTGTGCCAGGAACCAATTGCAAGTCTGCACATGAGTGGGGCCATCCAACTGTAGTGTGAGACATCTCTCCAGCACACTTAGGATAGTAATTTTAAACAATATGCCAATAATACTAGTAACATCTAAGGTGGTTATCTGATAAAAGAATTTGGCTGATAACTCATTCTTCATTTTCTCTTCCAATACTGTATCATTATCATTTTGGCTGCTTTTCTTTTCTTTTCTTTTTTTTTTTTTTTTTTGAGACAGAGTTTCTCTCTCCTTGCCCAGGCTGGAGTGCAATGGCATGACCTCGGCTCTCCGCAACCTCTGCCTCCCAGGTTCACGTGGTTCTCCTGCCTTAGCTGTCCCGGGTAGCTGGGATTACAGGCATGCACCACCACACTCAGCTGATTTTATAATTTTAGTAGAGGCAGCATTTTTCCATGTTAGTCAGGCTGGTCTCAAACTCCTGACCTCAGGTGATACTCCTGCCTTGGCCTCCCAAAGTGCTAGGATTACAGGCGTCAGCCACTGTGCCCGGCCTTGGCTGGTTTTACAGCTTCTGTGTGATAGCATGATTTGCAACAGTCTCCACACAAGAAATTTAGGTTTGAATAATGCCTGTGTACTCTTGCGTTGATTTTCACCATTAGCCACAAAATTAATCAATGTTATTAAGCTTGGGGCCCTTCCAAACCTTGCCCTGTGTGTCTCTTCATTTAGCTGTTTCATTTGTATCCTTTAAATTATCCGTTGTAATCAGTGGGTAAACTAGAAAAAAAAATCTGTTTATTTTTGCAAAGCATTATTTGTTGCTTGTTCCGGAAAAAAAAGGTGACTAAATTTATCTATCTGAACAGTCTCTGGTATTATTCAAAATATTATGAAAACAGCAGCAACATCAACTCCACTTAGGACAAATACTCATGACAAAAGCGAGGTGGACTGGGAGTAGAGGGCAGGACACTACAAGACAAACAAATGTGGATCTAGCATCAGCCAAGTTTAGCTCCTCATTGCTGTGTACCCTATTAGCACCATTACATCTTCCGCTTGTTTCAAGACAGAGATTCATATGGGGGATTCTCCTTTGAGTCTTGTCCACTATTTAGGTTATAAACTTATTGTTCACTATTTAGGTTTATGACTTATGGTATTTTTGTTACTGTTTTCATCACTGTTTTTCACTTTCATGAACCGCTTGAAGCCATTGATCCTTTTTTAAAAAATGCCCCAAAATGAGACTATAACTCAGGATAGGTAGAATATAAAACAGAAATTTGACAAATGTGAAGGAGCCAGTACACAAGGGTTGTGAAAATACATTGGACCACGAGAAATGTTCTCAGGTAAGGAAATGGTGCTAAGGCAAACTGTCAAGGACTTCTGCACCAGGTATGGCCACAATGATTAAGAAGGGAAGGCCGGGCGCGGTGGCTCAGCCTGTAATCCCAGCACTTTGGGAGGCCGA